ATCCCCAATTAAATTATCTCCCACGCACACAAAACCAGCCTCCCAGCGATGGAAGGGAAGAGCTGCTTTTATTTTCATGACAAGCGTTTTTACAAAGTTATAAGCAAGATACAATGTGTTTCATATCCTGTCCTTGACAACTGGCAACTCCATGAAGTAAAACCAGCAGGAACAGCCCCCGGCCCTCCCCTGAAGGCACTGCGGTGCTCCCGGCCCTCCACCCTCCGGGCGGGGAAAGGCCGTTTATCATTGTTCCCGGTTTACAAGGGAAATAATTCATTTCAGGTAAGCACAGGATATTCCAAGAAATCAACGAAAATTACTGAATGGGTGGATTATTATTATTATCTTTGATCAGTGGTCCAATGTAACCCTGCAGATCGCTGACCTCTGCTGTCACCTCTACCCCAGCCTGGTTCAAGACAAGAAAAATACGAGACTCTGTCCATTTGCAAACATCTGAGTGTACAGAAAACGTCCACAAAGGCAAAAAATCAATCCCCTAGCCATCCCCTAACCCTAGGTTCCTCACAGAACCTCAACTTAAATTGCAGAACAAGGCGATGTACAGGCTAAATCCTCCCATTTTTTCCCCATCCTACTTCTGAAAAGCAAATATGCCGAGCACCTGCATTCAACAGCTCAGTCCTTTAATGTCACAGGAAATATTACTCAGATCTAAGCCTGCCATAGAAATAACTAAGAAATTGCTATGATGGGAATGTTTACGCTAAATACTTTCAGTACAGATGTATCTAATTCATATTAGCCATAAACGGCATTTGTAGGAAACTGCAGCCTTCTTCGCAGCGAGTACCCATCGCTGTCATGCTAGTCCTTTCATACAAAAACCCTGTACTGGAAAACACCGCGTCCCCTAATTTTAGCATGGCTAAAAGAGATGCTGCTGCTCAGCTGTAAAGCACGTTATAAATTTGAAGTCACTTAACATTCGGTACCAATTAGAAATAACTAATGATTGTAAATAAAAAAGAAAGTTGCTGACAGTGAAATAACTAATAATTTGTAAAAAAAAAAAGGCTGACAGTGGTTTGTGTGTTTACAAATTAGTATTTTTGCATTAAATATAAGGAGCAAACGAGTCAAAAGTACTTTTGCAAGGAAAATCTCTGTGACCTTAACATTTGTATATCACAGCAGAGCTTCTGGAATAAATAGGAGTTGCATTTATTTTACAATATTGACGTTGCGGTGGGTCCAGTTACTCAACAACGTTCCTTATTTACGCAGTAATATTTGCCTGTTCCTCTAGTGTCAAGTCTCTGTTAGTATTATAGCCTATTTTGACAGCATTAAATAATAGACTTTACACTGTTTGTTAAAGTTAAATGCCAACAAGTATTATGCTCTGTTATTTCTTCCCATGTCTTTATGGGCATAAATCCTGCAGTACTTTATTTATCATTAATCTTTGCTGTCCTTTACTGTACTACATTTATTAAGAAATAGTCTGAAACACCAGGTCCAATTTTAAGGTGCCTTTAACTGACCTCTAAAGTGAGGTCTTGATCTTTAAATCCTAATTTATTAAAACAATATTTTCCATTTCCAAGCTTTTCTGTGCACAGTCTGTAAATTGTGCATGCAAAGAATGCATATAAGCAACTTTGTTCATAGATCATGATTTGAGACAGATGATAATATGCCAGCTATGAAAACAATAGGTCTCATTTTAATAACTGCTTTTGAAATGTGATTCTGCCCTCCAAAATCTACAGACATGTGAATCGCCATTGGCTCCTTTTTGCTTCAGTTAACATCTGTATTAGAAATGATATGCAATGATTATGATATTTCACAATGACTGCAATTTATGATATAGTTTATGCACCTACAGAACTGGGTAACTCTAACTTAAGTCAGTAAGAATGGGAATGGCAGGACTTTTAATATTCTGTATTCGATAGCTGTAAGTGAATACATTTTATGGTGGGAAGTTTAACAGAAAGATGCTGCCTAATGGTTATAGTTATTGTAAACATTCTCATCTTTCCCTTCCATAAAATAAACCAAAATAAAATAGCCATAAAGTGCTCTGGAAGGCTAAATAACCCAGAAGTGCAGAGTGGGACTGAGAAACCTGCTCCCATATTTTTCCCATTTTAAATATAGCTATAAGAGAAAAAAAAATCAGAACAGTTGCTTGTCTTTAATATCTGTCAAAACTTAAAAATAATTAAGTAATCAGTTTGCAGAGTTTGCATAGAGTGTGGCTTTTGAGCAACCTACTACTAAATTAACTACTTGGTTCTATTTAACTACAAAAAGTTTTGTTTATTTCCCATATACTGCATGCAAATTCTAAAAGCATCCTCAAATAGCAATGTATGTACCAACCACCTAAGAATCATAGCAGTACTTGTCAAACCCATGCATTTAAAAATCACAAGCAACTCCCTTGCTAAAACACCTATGAACAGTTAAGTTGTTAAAATAACTTTACAGTTGGGGGTGAGTTGCTTTTGAAGCATTCAGTGGTCACATTTTCAGACTTTTTCTATGACTATAAAAGGTAGCAAATTTTACGTGAAAGATGGGGTGCCCCAACAGTAACTTGGTTTTAAACACTGAGGGCTTTGACCAAAAAGAAACCTATTACCTGTCACTCAGGAAGGGATCTGCGTGAAACCTGCAAGAGCTGGTAATACCACAACAAAGCCCATTTCCTCTAGAGCTGACCCAAATAAGTATTCACAATTAAACAGGGATTACTGGAGTAAATAAATGCTGCAGGGCTGGGTTGAAAAACACTTCTTACTCTTCAGAGTTTTGCTGTGCGTAACTATTTTCTCTGCTTTCTTCTGCGAAAATATCTTTTACTTCTGTGGTTTTTATTTCTCTGTGTGAAGATGATTCACCTTCTGGCTTCCCTTCACCCTCACCAGCATCTCCTGTGACCCCTACAGTGCTAACCTCACCCTGCTCCGGCACCAGAGCAACTGACATATCTAGCAGTCCTGTTCTTGGGTTTTCTGTATCCAAAATGGGCACTTGCGTTATGTCTGTATTTTGAGCAGAAATATGAAAAAAGCTCTCTGTCCCTACCTCCACTGGGACAGCATGGCTATTCCCTCCTCCCCCCTCCTTCCCATCTAATCTTTTGTCTTCAGACACATTTTCAGTGTGTTCCTCTGGCTCCAATCTATCATTTTCGCAGCTTCCTGCACCTGTGTACCAAACGCTTTGCTTCATATCCACCTCTGCCTTTGCCTCCTGAGGCGTATCCAAGCTTTCCACCAGCCATTCTGCTTGTGCCGTATTGCGGGCCCCCTCGGACACATTTGTTAAATTCGTACCATCTGTCCCCAAACTAGATGAAGATGGTCGGTCCTCCTGGAACTCTGCGCATTCTGCTGCATCTTTATTTGTTATCATCTGGCTCACTTGAATTTCTGACGCAGCCATTTTGCTCATCTCATTGTTCCCTTTATTGTGCTCCTGCAACTTTAATATCTCACCTTCACAAATCTCCCTTACATTCTCAGCTGGAGTTTCTGCTGGTATCTCAACCGTTACCATCAGCAAATTCCTTATCTCATTCACATCATCAGGGGACTTGCAGCTCTTTTCTTCTGACTTGCCTTCCTTTTCAAGATTATCACCATACCCTTCTTTCCCTGTGTTTTCATCCTGGGAAATAACCCTTGTTTCAGTACTCACTCCTTGGTCATTGCTTTCTTTTTTACTACCCTCTTCAAACCCCGTTCCTACTGCACTTTCATTCTGAGATAATTCTTCTACCTTGATTTTTTTTTCAGCATTCCCTAAATTCTCTGCTTCTGCTACATTATCATGTGAGGAACTCAGCTTTATCTCAGCAACTTCTTCCTGTGCTTTGCTTTCTTTTTCAGTGCCACCAACAAATGCAGCATCCATTGCCGTTTGATTCTCAGGAGTTACCTTTTCTTCCACTGCTCCTTCATGTACCTTAAGTTCTTTTTTAGGGCTGGCTCCAAAACCTTTCACTGCAGTTTCAGTCCCAGGAGCTACTTTTTCATCTACAGCTTCTAGTTGTGTCTTTAGCTCTTTCTCAGTGTTCACTACACACTCAGCTTTCACTGTATCTTCATTCTCCAAAGTGCTTTTTTCTTCTGCCACTTCTTGTTTTGTAAGCATAGCTGGAAGGGACTCTTGTTTTTCACCAATGTCTGCAATGAACACTTCTCCACTTTTGCTTGCCTGATTGACAGCTGGATCCACAGAAGTGCCTGCCTCTTTGTCTGATGACTTTCTATCATCAGCGTCCTTCTCCCAAGAAATTTTTTCCGTTACAATGAGCGTTTCGTCACTTTGAGTTTCAGTGTCTGACATCTCGGCTCGGGTGGCAGAAGGCTTCTTCGCAGGAGTGGTTTGTGCTGATCCTGAAGGGGTCTTCAGGTCCGTTAAGCTGGACACGCTTTCACAGGGCAAATTCAAGTTATCTTCAAAGAGGTTGTGCTTCTTCATAATGGCAGCTTCTTTTATCACTAAATAAAACAGAAAGATCAAACTGTTTTGGAAAGACTGACAGAGGTACACTGAAGAAGGTACACCACTTTCCTGAGTTTCTAATGTCATACATTTTGATAGTACAGATATTTTATATTCATTTTCAACTTGCTTTTTTCATTTACATTTCTTGGGGGAGGGGATTTTATCTGTTCTGAATAACAGCACTTCAATATCAACCAAAGCATTGCTGCAATAGAAAACTACCAGAGGACCCACAATGCACAAAGGTAATGTTTCAATGCAGAAGTATTTATACTGAAAATATGAATAAAAGTGTGCTCATTACATTAATCAGTATACTGATATTTTTGAACGGGAGTGCCAAAGAGAGTCTATTAAAACTTATTGTGCAATAGAGAAGCTTGTCTTTTATCTAGGGTACAGACAGACAGATCAGAGAGATACAAATATTTTATGTATCTCTATGCCATCAAGAATGGTTTAATTTACTGACACAAAAGCAGAAAGATCTGCAGGGAGCACTGCACTGGCATCAGCGATGCAGTACATTTCATTGGGGGAAATTCATTTTTGCTGCCATTAGATATCACCAAGTCTTTGCAAGTAAGAGCCTCATTTCACTTCTTGGCCCGGGGAATCAAGATAAAATGAAGTCGGCAGAATTACATTTTGTTAGAAATAGGCTTGTGCCAAGCTATCAATTTGAGTTTCCCAGGTTTAGTAAAACTGCCCCATAATTCAGGTTCTAGGGCTTGCCCCTCATCTTCAGTGAGCTGAATTAAAACATTGTAGCACTGTAACCACCAGTCTTCGCGAAAGTGGGTCTGCAACAGCCGGATTAGGACTCTGGCAAGCTCTGAAGCAAGAGCTCACAGGTGAATAGCTGAAATGTTACTACAGTCACCTCAAGAATATTCTCACCTTTCAGGGTCTCTTCAAGCAGCATCTGATATAAAATCTCTTCATACACATTCTCTACTTGGATCACACTAGTGTAATCAGCAAAAATGAACTGCTCGTATTTCTGCAGCTCCTGCAGAGAAGAAAGGAACAGGTAAATAAAATTGAGAGATTTTGAGAGTCTAACTTCACCTTGGAGAAGCCATCGAGCACATCTTGCAATGCTCCTTGCTGGCACTTATCAAAGAGTATTCTTGCACTACAATTACATTCAAAAGCACAGTAGCTCATTGCCATCTACACTATAATTAACAATTCTGCAATAAATAGCTGGTGAGGAAATGCCTCATTCACTGTTTGTCCAAGGAGGCAAACCCACGGTGACCATGGGAGATACAGGGTTTGGTTTTGTTTTCCTAACAGGTGTGTAACATTTTCAGCTTACTGATTCATATGCAACAGTCTGTCTAGACAATAATTCAGTCATTATCACTAGGCACTTGCTTGGTCGTCTATAAAAAGTAATTAAGTGACCTCTGCTTGCTTCTAGACAAAGTGCCTACAGACAAATATCTGGTGGTTTTCAAGTAGAAGGTCAAGACTTGGCTGGGCATGTCAAGTGTGCCACACATTTGCTTCTAGAGCTGGCTGCTCATTTCTGCAGAGGTACAAACACAAACTGCTTGTAGGAAATTAAACAGAAAGGGCTTGTGGGAAGTTTGCACCACCATTACTTCCTCCGTCCTGTATGGCAGAGACACGATATGGGACTCCACTCTCTATTTATTCAAGGTGATGCAGTGCTTGCCCCTATGCAGAGACATCATGTCTTGAAGGCACTGCTGACACTCTACAGAGACTGTTACTATTGGAATAGTAAAGAAAGTAGAATGACATACAGAAAAGGGTGATTTTAAATGGTTTTTTGAAAGTTGTAACTTTTAACAATCCATACTCAAAGACTCAGGTGCGTAACTTGTCAAAAGTTGTTTTAAACTTGTTTTCGAAACTGACACAGGCTGGAGAGGCTCAACAAGAGCAGCACACCATGGGTGCGAAGTTACAGCCTCCGGGGACTGCTGAACATCCAGGGGAACAAAAGGGCAGAGAGGCTGGGATGGCTTGAGGCAGTCATCTTTCAGCAGGCCCAGTGAAAATGCAGGAAAATATGCATGGGCTTCAAGAAGGGTAAAGACTATTTATTTTGAGCCAAGGTGAACAGCATTCCAACTGGCCCCTGACGTAGCCACACTGATAACATCTCCACGAAACTCTGGTAGCCACATTTGCTGAGTACTAACCTACCCATATGATTACAGCAACAGAGATCATCTCTGTATGTTTGTTTCCTGATTGTTGATGCAATTACTTCTTGAAATCACTGAAAGCAAGTGCAGGGCCTGTCTGCTTGCTGCTCCACTTGGCTTTGAAGGAGGTCGTCAGCAGAGGCTGCCTACAGTCACAGCCCTGCCTCGGGGTGCTGCTGAAGGGGAAAGTGCCCTCTACCACGGAGTGCATTTCAGCCTGCAGCGGGGCTGCTGAAAACAAGGACAAGCTCATAATCTACAATCCTAACTGTTAAGAGGAGTCCAGTTTGAGGGGACTTCAGATCTCTAGGGAAGAAATGAAACGGGGATGGGCACAGGTCTGCAACTATCTTTGAGAAAGCAAGCTGGATATACAGTTTCCTTGTTTCCTGAAATCCTCCTTATCTACCCAGTCCATGAACCAGCAAATCGAAGCATCACTTGGCTGAGCAGGCAGCCAATCTGGATGACCCCCCAAGAGAAAACAACTTCACAGAGTTGAGGGTTTACTGCCAAGGTGTTAATCCTTCCCTGCCTTTTATTATTGCGGGTTTTTTTAAAATCACAGAAACCTACTGGTTTGCACGTTGAAGCCAGTGTCTTTTGCATTGTAGGCAAAGTAATCTGTACCAATGCTTCTTGAAATATCTTCTTCCGGATAGTGCTGCTGTCATAATCATATTGCTGTCAAAACAGACAAAAAGAGAAACAAGCCCAAACATGTTTGCAGTTATTAATCACTCATAAGAGGAGATGGATCTTGTTATCCTGTAAATGGTGAGGGGTGAATCCCAAAGGATACCACATCACAGGCGCACTCAGGGGTTTGAAATCCCATGCAGGCTATTCCAGCTTTTACAAAAATTCCCTAAAATCTGGTTTTATGGAAAACATTTTCTTCTGCCTAGGCTAGAAGTGTCCCCCTGATTGCTCTCTTCAGGTATTTCAGTGCTGCCTCTTCAGAAATAACAAACTGTAGTGGCAGGCTAATTATAAAGCTAATATAAAATTATTTACTCAGATCCACATCATCATCTCCAGCTGATTTAAGTGCAATGAAAAGCCCTGCACACATAAATATTTTTACAGCTGTCTGCCCAGAACTAGATTTTACCCCCCTCCAAATGTACAGCTTTACTGTCACCAAATCAATATTTCTGCCTGGATGGTAAGAGATACCTTCTTTCAAATACTGAGATAAATTCACATAAAATATATTCTCACTTTCCGAAAAGGCAGAACCCAAGGTCTTCCTGTGCAAATGGTGCTACATTGCATTTACCTTCAGTACTCTCAGCTTGACTTTTTCAATGGTTGTTGCAACTTTTGCCGAGTCTGCCTGGCGACTTGGAGAGAACAACTGCTCAAAAGTATAAACTGCGTTTTCCATCAGCTAAAAGTAATAATTAAAACATCTGTTAAAGACCAGTAACATAAAATTCCTACACACATAAAGAAGCATGAAAAAGGTAACCATTAACTTAGACGGTATTTCTGAGACAGTGAAACTGAGAAAGAACAACGGGCCTAAAATCAATAAATATTTCAAGTACTTTAAATGATTGTGGAAGGTGAAGAAAAGCCTGGTTTAGTTTAGACTGCAACACTCAGATTTGGAATGGGAAACCAAAAAGAAGATTATCTAATGCAAGAGTATCAGAAAATGAAACTACCTCAACTTACATCTTGAGTTTACAGGCAGGTCAATAATAGGAAGTCTGCTAAGGTAACTAAACAGTTATATCTGGAAATTTACTCGGAGTAGATTCATTTATATTGCCCAAAATTTTTCTGCTGTATTTCAGTTCTCTGAAGGCTAACATGCACAGAAATGTTGCAATAAATAAAGCAAGTTAAGCCTTGCTTAATTATTATGCTATCATAGCTTTCTTGTATAGCTTTAATGTCATGTCACCATCCAAACTGATGGGGACAAAGACAAAAACTAGAATCAATCATCTACATATAAAAGCCAGAGACAAAACTCATTATCCCTAATAAGAAGACTCCCATTGACTCCTACCAGATTCTAAGGTCTTAATCATTAATAGTACAGATAATTTTTCTAAAAGTAATTAATTAGTAGCTCTCCTTAGAATACAAATGATTATGAGCAAAAATCACACAGAGTGCAATAATTTCTCACAGAATTACATCAGGCTAAGTGTTTCCATTCCAGTTTTACTATGTTCTTATTGAAGAAGTACAGGGACATCCAGGGAGGCTGTCCATACGGCCAGGTCTGCCTTTGCATCACACAGGAACATCCCCGATCCAACAGGACTTCTTGTAGTTTGTAAATGAATATGTTAACATACGGTTAAAACATGCTTTTGATTCCTCATCGGCTAGTAATATTTTCATGAATGAAAATAGGCAGTGACAAATGTTTAAAGCTGATTTTTATAACTGACTCTGCATATAACATAGGTTGAACTATACAGACTGTATTGATAAGTGGAAATGGAGAAGATGGAGGTTTATTCAATTTGTGTGTGCATCAGAAGGCTGGATAGTAAAGGTTCATGCACTGCAAGACCTTGGACATAAGAAAAAAGACAGTGTCGGTGTAGAGTGAAGCGTAAGGGTAATTAAAATATGAACTACTCACTTTTTATTTCAATTTTTCTTTGAAGCAAATCATAAATTGGTGTAGTTCTGGTGAAGTCACTACAGCTGCTTTATGTATGCCAGTTGAGCACCGTGCTCCCAAATTTCCTAAAACTGGCCACTAGAGGATGCCAAGCTCCCAAGCCAAGGAATCCCGCTCCAGCCTCTACCCGACTTAAATTTAAGCCAAATGCTTCTTTTATGTTAAGACCATGCATACAAAGACATGTCTGACCTTACTGGTTAATAAAGTACATGTCCATGGACACAAAGTGACGCCACTTACTATTTTTTATGAGAAAAATAACAGCCTTTTAAACGGAGAGAAGCAATAACAGCATTTTTAGAACAACTTGTGCTCTAATAACTTATTTATTGTGAATTTTGACTCAAGTTCTGTTCAGGAAAAAAACCCACTTGGTTTCTATGGGATATATTTTCTGTCTAGTTCTCTGTCTTGACTCGTGGCCTTCACTTACTGAAAGCCATTTTATTTGGCAGCATTTTGGAATGGTCCCCCCTGAAAGACCCAGACATGAAATCAGTGTTTTATTTCTGAATAATTCTTTGGCTGCTGACCATGGCTGTACTTAGAAGAAATTGCTTTTAGGAAAACCCTATCCCAGCACTGTGCTAGAGACTCGCTTTCCATATTCATAACTCCCACTTCACAGAACTGGACCAGCTCCATTTCACAAGGGTACCAACTGGATTATTTAGTTTCTCAACTATGGATTCAAATCACAGGATTCAACATAGAGCTACAAGGTCAAATCTGCCTTGTGATCTGGCAATCGAAAGAAGTGTACTGGCCAGTTCCTAAAAGATTTCTGGACAGGCATCCAGAAGAAATAAAAGCAAAGCAAAATTATAGCCTATACCAATACACTCTAGAGGGGAAAAAGAGGTGGTGTTCATTTTTCATCTGAAATGATGCAGTCACTTCAACCATTCCCATAAGAAGTGAAGCTGATTAAACCACCTACATGCAGCTACATCCGGACATCATCTGTGTCCAAGTAATTGCGAGTTTCTAACACCAACTGCCTTACTTTATATTAATGAGAAAATAAACTACCAAGGAGGAGATGTTCCATTTTGGTAAAAGATATTTAAGATCATTCCTGAAAAATCAACCCTTGAGAATGGAAATCAGGTAGATTTTCACCACCCCACTGGTACAAGCAAAACTTTCTCAGGTGCTGAGACACTGAGCATTCAGAATGTCAAGGTTCACGGGAAGAGATGAGCCATCCAAAATTGTTGTGCCTTACTGAAAGTTTCATATGCATGCAACCTCACAAAATATAAACGTGAAACCACATCTACCTGTGATTTTCTTACATTTTGTTACCTGTACTTTCAGAGATATTCTAGGACTTTTGCGCAGCTTTTTATCAAGATTACTGTGAAGCAGATTAGAAAGACAAACCTAACCTGTTCTCCCAGGAGGAAAAACTGGATCTTACAGTACCTCTTGCATGAAGTTCTGTGTCCTCTGAATCACAAAATCAATGTGATAGACCTTGAAGCGACTCTTGAGGTCTTGAAGGAGCTCCTGGAGGAGGTTCACTTTCAGATAGCAGGGCTCCATTTTCACAGAGTTGAATGGCAGGTTCATAAGCTGATCCACATTCTGCATTCCGGTGGAGGAAGAACAGGTTTAGAGAGAAAGCAACCAGAAGAAATTTTTTAATGGAGAATGTAACAGTGGCCCTAAAACAAATTCTGTTATCTATGCTCTAGTTGCAGAAATACCACAAGACTTTCTAAAAGACAAAACCAACTGCTAACATACTACCGCCTGGGAAAGCAAATACTGCTTGTCTTTGTGCTAATGTAAAAGGCTCCAGATATATTTTTGTCTTACCTCCTTCAGCTTCGTGATATCATTTGTCTTCTGGAAGTCCTGGATGATTTCATTAACTTCTTTATCAAAAAGTGAGCGGACTTCAGTGAATCCAGAGCTCACTGGACCCATGAGCTCCTCCAATATGGACGTGAGAAATGGCAGGATGTTTTCTGTGCAGCACTTCTGGGCAGGCTCAGAAACAGTGGCTGGAGTGCCAGACAATATAACGGTTGCATTTAGGCTTCTCAGAGACACAATGAAAAAAGTAATCTGAACTATCTCCTTTACAATTCAGTAAACGCCTCTGTATTTTTCCCTGGAGTCACACCTCCACAAAGATGATGAGGGTGTTGAAAGGAGAGTTTCTAGTTTTGTCAGTGACAGGGAAACATCGTTTCCCATGCCCCACCTAACCAAATGCTAGCAGCTTGGGGGCATTGTGAGAGCAGAGGAAAGGGCAGCTGTCCATACTCATACACACTGGGAGGCTTGCAGAGCGCGGCCACAGTGACTCTGTAAGAGAGTTATCCCAACTTGGTACTACTCTACGGTTCACTGAAAGCATCCTAATCTGGTATGTGAGAATATCAACAGAACATCCTGAGTGTTATCAAAACAGCTCCTCAATTACCAGCTATTTATTTATTTTTTTGCTAGTTTAAGCAACATCAACTAATGTTTTGCCTGCTTTTTACACTTATTTTTATATTCGTAGCAAAATTATAATTACTTCACATTAGTTTAAAAACACCTAAGAAGCCCTCTGGTTCAAGTATTCTTTGGTAGCCTATGAATTTGTCACATAACCAGAAACAGTTTTTGTGGCACATTCCTAGACATAAGGTCAAAACCACTATTTTTCCAATTATTCTCCTGTGACCTGTATCTTCATTACAAAAGGTTGTCCAAGTGAAAATGAAAGCAGAATGAGCATCTCTAATCAGGATACTCAAAACCTGTCAGCTCTAAATCCAACTTGACAAGACCTGGTATTTTCAGCCACAGCAGCCACAGGTTCCTGTCAAAGGCAGCAGAGGCTCAAAGCATTTGTTTTCTGAAAATTAGTGTCTCCAGTTGGATTTTTCAAAACACGTGAGGATTTCAAAACAATGACATCTGGTAATTTGAGCAACACAATGGGAAACATTAAAACAATTGCTCCAAAACACAGCTGTTCCTCCACTAACCTTTGATTTTTCCAGCTAAGAAGTTCTTGCAGTTCAGAATCTGATCCATGTCCGAGCGAATGGTTCCTTCAAGAGTTTTTGCAAAATCTCTGCATTCTTCTTTCAAGGTACTTAATCCTTCTGACACTTGCTGCTGGACTAAGCCGTAAGTTTCTTCTACGATCTAAACCCAAATTAAATTAAGAAGCATAGATGAGAATCAGCACACACAGACAAGTGCCAGGAGAAAAAACTACTCTGCAAATACCAGTACTTACACCAAACCAGGCCCGCTTCCTATCATTCCTCTTTCCTTTCATTTTAGGCAGGATCATCGTCTGAAGGTTAGGCAGGAGTTCCTCCATCACGAGGTTGCTCAGGATCTATACAGTCAGAAGATTAAAATTACATGTTCACACACTGTTCTTCATCTGAAAACTGAGCACTTGCATCATGGAATGATGTGCAAACACAGGCAACATCAAATGTAGAACAGCTTAGCTATCCCAGGTTGCCAGGAGGGCTGGATTTAAAATATGAAGTATGCCTGAGGGAAGCTCCATGCATTTCATCTGAAGCATTTTGAACTGAAAGGCTTAGAGAGACCATGCAACAATTGATAACAGATTAACTAAGATGCTGAACTGAGATGCCTGTTAAAATTTACTGCATGCTATTATGAAATTGCCATGTGCAAATCAATGGAGATAAAATGATTGATATCAACTGAGCAACCAGATCATAAACATTTAAAAAGTTGGTTTGCTGACTGCTGCTTCCCCACACTGACCTTGTTCTGGGACACTCATGCTCTCCCAGAGAGGTTATCATCGAAGAGAAATTGTTCTAAAGAGTCATCAAAGAATGCTTCTCATAAGAATATAATTGTCCAAGAAAAGGAAGATATGACTGTACCAATATGAATCTCCAGCACCTTTTCAGGTGAGCACCAACTTCCCAATTCAAACAAGAAAATAAGGAGATCCCAGGAAAAACAAGATATAGGACAGAAATGGAACCCAGAAATGTGGCTAATCTGTGAATCAAATAATTCTCTTCTATCTGATTTTTTTTCAAAAAATACGTAACATGATCCCAAAGACTCAATAGCTCCAGCCTAATCCTGAGGCAAAAAGGATAAAATAAATAGCTGCTGGAATTTGTGAAAAACTTTTCAAGCAATTATTTTTTGTCAGTAAAAAACAACTATAGCGGTCTAAAGCCAGTAAAACTTTCACATTGTAGAATTCATACACATTAAATTCTCCTCCCAACACCTCTAGATTCTTGAACAAAAAAATATTAAAAACATATATCCTAGGAAGATATTCTGGGACAAAGTACAGCACAGCAGAAAGGCAGGGGGAAGAAAAGTGCCAAAGGGACTTCTACACATCGAGTGTGTGTGATGGAATGAACGGAAACTGTGGAAAAGGTATCATTGCCCCATGTTTTTATTACTGACAGTAAGTATACTGTCAGTCTATCACTGCTGTATTTTTCTAAATTGACATGGAGTACTTTTCTCCCTCAAGAATGTTTTAACTTTGAAACAGGGTTCAGTGGTTGTAGAACAGACACATAACCCTCTCTGATCCCAGCGTCTAACTGGCAGTTCAGTCTGGCAGATGGTTCCAATTAGAAAGAAAAGACATCAGACTGGGAATACAGATGATACCAGTTTTGAGGAGTGGTCAATACACTGGCAAGCAAGGCTGCTATTCAAAGAGACCTAGATGGGCTGAAGAAATGGGTGGACAAAAACCCCATGAAGTTCAGTAAAAGCAAATGCGTAGTCCAACATCTGGGATGGAACAATCCCATGCACCAGTACAGTCTGGCAACAACTGTCTGGAAAGCAGTTTTTCAGAGAAGGCCTTGGGCATCCTGATGGACAAAACATTCAACATGGGTCTGCAGGGTGCCCTCGCAGCAAAGGACAACAGCAGGTTGAGGGAGGAGAACGTTCCCCTCTATTCAGCACTTGTCAGACCGCAACTGGTTGTGGTGTCCAGTTTTGATCTCCCCAGTACAGGACAAATCTTAACACACTGGAGTTAGTCCAGCAGAGGCCATCAAGATGATCAGGGGATAGAGCACATGACATGTGAGGAGAGGTGGAGGGAACTGGGTTTGCTCAGCCTGAAGATGATGAAGCTCAGGGGAGACCTTATTGCTGTCTACAACTACATAACGGAGGATGCTGGGCAGACAGAGCCAGACTTTTCTTGGAAATGCACAGGGAAAGGAAGAAGGCGATGGCTACAAGTAGCAACAAGGGAAATAGGAATCAGGTATAAGAAATGTTTTTTACCATGAGGGCAGTCATCGGAACAAGTCGTGCAATCTCCAGCCTTGGATATCTTCAGAACTCCACTGCACAAAGCCCCTAAAGTTGGCTCTGCTTTGAGTTGGGGTCTGGGCCAAACAACCTCCAGAGATCCCCTTTTAACTACATTACTCTCTGGTTCTGTGGTTCTCTTGACAGCATAACCTAGCTTTGTCCAGAAGAAGGATCAATGTCTGGCTTTTCTGATACAGAAAGAATAAAATGGTGTGAGACAGATTCCTGGTTTCATTCATGGCACCCATTGCAGAAGTTTTCTTCAGCATTATCCACTCTGTCCAGCCTCTGCACCTCCTCTGCCTAGATCTGAACTACAACTTCTTTCTTGCCCATCCCACTCAGATGCACCAAGCTGGCAATAAATACACAGAGTTATAGGCACACACCTGGTTTTGAGAGTCTGGGCTTTCCTCTCCTTTTATTTTTATGTATGGACACCTTACCTCTTACCTGAGAAAGCTGCAAGACCTCTCTTCCTCCTCCGCTTTCCTCTTGCTGTCGGCCACCAAGGTAACTTACTCATGCAGGGAGAGGCAGTTCATCATGGGAGCTGCCCTATTTCTATTTCTTTGTGATCTCAGGTCTCTGAACACACTTCCTATGGAGGCATCTATCAGTGCTGGGGACATATGCTGGATTCTTGAATTTCTCTACTTAAAGCATCTTGATTTTGAACCAAAGACCTCAGTCCCATATTTGTTCAGTCACTACTGATCCTCATGATTCAGAGGAGGGAGGGATCTTTTATTTCTGGACATGTTTGTTTTCTGTTCACAGATCTTGCCCAGGTATGTTCATACTGGCCCACAGCTACAGATGCACAGCTGCCAATTGCTGACGACAATGGCAAAGTATTATGCATGTGCTATACAGAACGGCACATAACCCTTTCATCAAGGCTTTTTATCTGTCCCGACTGTACAGCACATATGAGGTTGTCCACAGCATTTTGAAAGCTTTGAAGTGCAGTGGATATCCTGCAAATCACAGAGAGACATAGTAACCCTATAAAAAAGCAGGCAAAATACATCTTAAGGTTCTGTACGTTTCCCATTTCCTCTGGATAAAGAATTACTAGCTTACTCAACAGTTTTATTAAAGTCTCACAGACAAAGTACATAGTCCTCCTTCCTCTCCAGTGGGGCTTGAGCAGCGTTTTTGATAAGTGATGTGTATTTGAAACCACCTCTTTCCCTTGCTTCAACAGCCCAACACGCTCCTCATTCAAGAATCACTGCCCTGATGTACCCAGCCACTGCCTGAGCCAATAGAGTGCAAAAAGACCACTCAGCCTCACATTTTCACTATGTTTGGAGTGCCAGTGCTTCCTGACATTCAACCTCATGTATCATGGCTGCCTGAGCGAGGGTTAGATACGCACCAACACCACGATAGGGAAATGGCAGGAATTTAGGCTGCAGAAGTAAGAAATGGCTCTGTCTGCATGCCACGCAGTGTAAACCAGAGTACCTCCTGGGCATAAGACAGCCCCTACAGAAATATAGCACACAATACTCTACTTATTAATACACCTTTCATACACCTATAATATGCAATACCCTATTTTCGCTGTTTCATATAACTAAAGTAATTACAGATTATGCCATAGCACCAACGCAAATTCAGCTCTGCTGACTCAAACACCTGTCAAATCCAATTGACTAATGCATGTCCTAAACTAAAGAGACACTTTAAAGAAATCCCACAAAAAACCCAAACTGGAGCACCACAGATCAAATAATGTACGTGACAATGGATCAAACATATTCAGAAGAACCTGAGCGCTCTGCAACATTTTTAGGAATGCTGAATTGGCTTTATATTTCTGTACTTAAAGGTGCACTGTAGGGTTTGGATTTTTTAATCCCTTGTTCACCTATCCTTGATTTACCAATATGTTATTTCTACATAACTTTTACAACACAAAATAAACTAGTAGGTCTTCAGACGAGTGACTGGATACTTGCTAATACTACATCCATGTTGCAGTACCTAGGCAGAACCACGTGAGCTAATGCTGCAGAGACTCTGTCATTATAAATGAATGTCAGGGAATATATTTATTGGCATTCTGCAGAGATTTTTACAGCAACAAATTGTAGCTTGCTTATTCCAAACCATTCACTTCACTTGGAGATTTGCCTAAAACAATTACTGTATTTGGTCAAAGCAGGCATGAGAACACACTATACTTACAGAATGAATTATTACTAAGAAGATAACAGCGTAACTAGTCTGGATGTCCTCTGATTACAGTTCTCTTGAGGTATATGGGTTATGAGTAAGTAGTTTGGCAAGCAACAGGAAAAATGAAACATAAAATGAAACTAGCACTATTATAGCTCCATAACTTGAGGGAGGAGGGGAGAAGAGAAAAATCCTCACTCACTCCACTGGAAGGATGGAACTCCTTATATTAAGGAATTTATTATCAGATGTTAGAAGGACACTTCAATCCCTGCCACGATAGGAAAGCTGCTGTTTATAGAGTCTTCTCCAGTTTCCATATTTTTCAGCATTTCCAAGGTAGACTTCTCCTAAAAGAATAACCTAGTTTCTTAAAACAAAACCCTGGATCGTGAAGTCTCCATCAGGCTTTTTTCCGTTTTCCCAAAGGGAAGCCAGATTTCATCAAGCAAAACACCCAGCAGCTGGTACTAAAGTAAATAATTGCTGCTTGAGTGCTCAGTGCTTTGGAAAAAATTTATAAATCAAGGCCCAAATAATGTCTCAATTGCACTAAAATACATCTGGAGTGATGCCAAAGGGATCGGTAGAGTTACTTCAGCTACCATCAGTGCTCCAAAGCTGCTCACTCAGGTGCCCAAATATGGACCCAGACCCTGAGCTTTGCTGAAGAACTCTAATTTCTGAAGAACTAAAGTACACAAATTTTTGGTGTTTAACTGTGACTGCTACTATGCAAGAAACCTGGCACAAGAAGTAGGTCTATCCGCTCAGGATTAAAATCTTCATTCCTAAAGAACAGAGAAAAACCAAATGAAGAGATTCTTCAGAATTTATGTTTAGCTGATATTCTGTTCTTCGTAAAGCCTGATCTCCCATGGTGGCATCTGGAGGCATCAGAGGACAAGCAATGGGAAACTGGTGTGTTCAGTAACAAAGGTAATAGCAAGAGAAGGAAAAACTCTCTCTTATCTGAAAAAACAGCTGTCATGAAAAGGTGGAAAAACAGGGGACAGCCCAACACAGCTGACAGTGAGCATCTGCTGCCTGCAAACCGTGTGTGCCGAGTTTGGTGTGTGTTGCTTTTGGTCTCATCAATTTACCAAAACTACAAACAGCAGCAAACGTGGTAGCGAGACATTAGCAAGTGCCTTGTTTTAGGCACAGCATTAATTCACCAATTTATGGCGTGGTATAGAATTAAAGTAGATGTATTGGGCTTTTTGTGGAAATGTGGCTGTCCCTACATTCCAGCACAACACAACAACTTTAGTTCACAGCACACATTCTTTCACTTTCTAGCAAAAAAACTCAGAATGAGGCTTATTAAAAAAGAAATATCACTTACATATCCATAAGAAGTATCTTGAAATCTTGGGTATTTCTCCCTACTAGATTTTCTTTTTCAAAAAATGACATTTTTTCCCAAGAGGCTTTACAACCTTCACTATGCTCAGAGCTGTCATAAGCCAAAAAATAAAAAAATCAGGAAGGTACATTTTACCTCTTTTTCATTGCCAGTTATCATTTCCCATGTCCCATAGTGGCCCTTCTCCTGCCGGAAGAACTGAATGGCTTCTAAGAATGCTTCGACTTCATACGTGGTCTGCTTGAGAAAATCTAAAGAAAACAAAAGTAACACAAAGGATTTACTCATAAATAACCTTTTAAAAAATAACCATCCCTTTTGAATCTATTTTCCTGTTCTGCATGCATCCAGCAGTAATATATTTAAATAATTTACTAAACTTGAATATCTGAAGACCTTGGGCTTTCATTAAGATTTAAAAGCACAATGTTCATCCATCACATTGCACATATAAACTATCACAAGGCTTCCCATCTAAGTTGATAAGTAAAACCAACGCCAGCAAGAGCTAATACACGGAGTACATGATAAGGTAAGAGTTTTACAGCAGCAAGCCTGGCCTGTGGTAGACTTTGACAAGGCAGTCATTAACATATGAAAACTCATCCCTTGCCTTTATACCTATAAGCAATGCAAGATGGTACATGGGAAGACTTTGACAGCAGGTACCAGGGCCAAGAGTTGGGAGCTTCTGCTTTGTTAATTTAAGATAAGATTATGAATTCAAGATGCTGATAGTCAGCTGATTGCAGCATGTTGATAAATTGCTGAAGCCTGAGTTAATGCTCCCCAATAATCTTTTATTATGTCCTTTGTTTTATTAAGGAATTGATCAACAAGATTTTTCATGGACATAGAATAAAACAGACCTGGACAAAGTACCATGCTCATACCAATTAAGCACAAAAACTTCTGACAAAATTGTGCTGCTTTCCCTAAATATCTCAGGAATGTTTAACCACAGCCCTGGAGTATCTGGCTATTGTCCACGGCTACTGCTGCTAGATGGTAGCTCTTCCCAAGAACAATGTGCCAGCCTGGGGACTCTTTCTTGTACAAATGAGACGACAGCACGGAAAAACCTGACAAGTGGCTGAGCTAGTTTGCTCTTACAAACTCTGAATAACCAGTCCTGCAACAGAAATTCTATCTCAGGCAATGTGTTCTTTCCAAACTGCTGAAGGCTTTCAGGACAGCTGCAGACAACAGTCTTCTTCACATGAGAGTGCACAAAGCCACAGCTAATTAAGACTGCAACAGCAGTCACGCAGCAGAACTAGCTTGTCATGATCTGGGGAGACACAGTCTTTCTGCCTCAAAATGTGTAGAAGCTCCCTAGAGCAATCAGGCTGCTTGACAAAGCTGAGTAAGAATTTTGGGCTGAAAAACCACCACTCAAATACTTCAGGAATTTAACTGCTGCGTCTTTGCTACGAAACAGAGCTTCAGGATTATTGTGAGGATTATTATCTTAAGGGAAAAACAAAGCCACAATGGTTTATTGTTCCCTCTGCAAGGTTATCTAATTGCTGTCTTGATCAGCTGAAGTCCTGTTGGGCACACATTAGGAAGAAAGGAGGGAAGAAGAAGAATGGTAATTCTCTCAAAGGTAACTATGCTGCTTTAAAAGATACTGGTATGTACAAACAATTGTTATGTGGAGCATCAAAGAGTAAATTCTCAAGCCTTGTCTGTCAAGCAAGACACTTCTTTTGACTTGTTCAGGAAACTTCTAAAGAAGTTTACAGGAAGCTTGCACAGATGCCAAGGGGAATACAGGGATTATACAAATTATGGGAAACACGAAGGCTGCAGTAATGCCTGAAAGGTCTCCTCTGCATGCTTTGCACAAAATGGAAAGCTACAGAAACCTACAATTCATTTCGTCAATGTTTCACTACCTGAAATGCTACCAGCTTGAAAACAGTGCTGTATAGATTTTCTCTACATGGAGGGCAATGAGGTTTCAGAGCCCAAACATCAGAATTTGCCCTTTCAGAGTTTCCCCTGGGTGTAATAATTACTTCAGGAAGGTATGTGATACATAGTGAGGTGCAGGCAATGCTCTCTCCGTGCCACTCTATAGATAACTGTTGCTGTTTTGCAGATATTTGAAGGTCCAGAAAGATCACACAATTTCTTCAAGCTCAGATGACAATCAAACATGAGAAAAAGAGCCCAGTAAAATCCCAACCATTCCTTCACTGCTGCCTCCGTGATTTATAGCATTTTTAATAGCAAGTCACAACAGGATGCTACAGTGTCAGTAAGAGTTGTAAGTCAGACTGTTCACTTCCAAGAGAAGAATGTCCTCTGATGGCAGCTTTAATGAAAGAATAGAGTATTCCATCTGAGAAGCTGGTGGAGCATTGCATCTGAAAGCTTTTGTCGTCCCAAAATTAAACGCTGAATATTTCAGCAAGAAAAGGGCTGGGCCCAGCTGGAGGATGGGAGAACTGCAATTCCCGCAGCCCCCCGATCATGACTCACATGTTTTCCTTCTTCACAGCTGTGCTCCCTGATAACCAAAAGGGACAAAAGACCATCCAAAGGGCTGGACCTTGGACCTGCTGAGATGATCATGTGCCAGGGCTGACAAGAGTCTCCCCTCTTAGACAATCAAGTTTTAACCTCCATGCTCAAGGGAGTATTTTCTCTCTGTTCTGACTCTCCCCAGTCTCATAGAGAACTGGGAAGAAGGTGCTAAAAGTTGAAGAGCAATTCATCTGAATAGTTCATGGGAAAAATATCAAGCTGTAAGTACCATAAACTCCCAATCATGCATTCTTTCCTATGCCAGTAAACACTGGAGAAAAACACAATTATGGCAGTCTTACTCCAAAACCAGCTCAAAGCAGAAAGGAAGCTTTATGCTTCAAGGCTACCACAATTGCTTAATTTAGGCAATTTCATTCTCACTTTCCATAGGAGGAAAAGATTGCATCAGCAATAAGGCACCGAACAACTAGATCCATCCAGCATTGGGCTGTGCAGAAGCTGTTGGTGAGGAACACAAGACAGAGGCACATTCATGGAATACGACTCAAGAAAAGGGAATTGTACCCAAGCTGAAAGGCACTGCGGTGCACAGTCTCCAAGATTTCAGCAGGGAAGAGTTGCAGCTTCTATAAATCGGATCTAGCAGTTTATGAACAGACTAGAGGACTGCAGCCAGCTCCATTATGCCATGACAAAGAAGGAGAACAATGACTAAACTGTCAGGGTACTCCCGCTTGCGTGCAAGAGAGAGGATGGCGCGTGGGAGATGGAAGCAGATGATGCAGCTGCAAACAGGGCAGGTGGTAAACCCCAGCGGTAACAGGAACGATTGTTCATCAGCAGAACAGACAACGTGTGCTTCACTCTCCTGAACGCCCTTGCAGGGTCCTTCAACCGATCTGTCTGGCATCCATCGTGAGCGATGCAACTGTCACTGCTGTTTGTAGAAACTGGAGCATGTCAGGGGAGCTTGGTGCAGCGGTGGTCGTATGTCATCCATATCCAGCTGCTGTACAAAGCTAGAAATCTTACTGAATGTCCACGAACGTAAGGTTGGTGAGGCTTTACAGGTACCCAGACTGCTGCTACAAGCTTAATCCTGGCTGGTCTGCACTGGGAAAGCTACCCAAGCAGCTTCTCCAGTTGCTAATGAATATAACATCAGCTTATTTGTGGAGAGCAAAATTCAGTTTGTTCTGTTTAACTATAAAATAAGAAAACCCACCTAAAGACTTGATCTTTACATATCCAAGTGTGGAGGCTAATGTTAATAACAGGTAAGATATTGCTAACCATAGATCAATTTCACAAACATAACAATAACTGCTGTGAAGCCCCTTTTTAAAAGATGGAAGGACATCTGGAAACACCATGACTTTATAAATCTCCCCAAATTTGCATGTCTCTGAGGCACAGCTGAGTTTGTTCAGTACTGCAGAGAGGTGTCTGTAGGAATGAGCTTCCTTGCAGTTTAAATCCCTCTAAAAGAAAAAATATCTCAGGCCTTAACTCATCAAAATGATACACACAGGACCAGGCTACTCAACACCCACTAAGATTGCAGTCGCACCTGGTGCAGAAGTGTTAACTCAGAAGGTCCTGTTCCTAATTTCAGATGTATTCCCAGCTGCTGCGGGACTTGCAGTCTCCTAAGGAGGTGCTCCAGGCTACAAGCTGTGGCTCCTTGTCACTTGGCAAATGAGTGTCTGGTCAGATGGGTGAGTAACAAGGAAATCTTCAGTCCTGAGTTCCTACGTGCTCTCACATCCATGGCAGGACAGCTGCACCTTTGTTTGAAGATGGACACGTTGCTGGCACGTTGTTTAAAAGCCCCTCAGGAAAGGCTATCTGAACAATTTTTCTGGCTTGCTAACACTTCTTGTGTGTGTCTAAAGACAGCAGAGGAAATTAATTGCCCTGGTGAATTCAGTCTCGACCTGTCTTTACATCAGTCAAAACACTGAAAACCTCTGTGCAAAAACTTCTAGAAATAGGCCTTGTTACCAGAGAGGATGAGTGCCTCTGGCTAAAATTGCGGATTTTCAGCAAATCTGGACAATGTGAAATCTGTATTTGAACATTACAGTTCAATTTTTGTATCTGTATGCACTGCAGACTGCTGCGTCAGGTCTCTTGCTGTGCTTTGTAACAGAAAGCTCAAAACCAGCTGATGTTTAATCGCTTAGATGCTGATTTTTTCTTAGGTACGGTTGAAGGGAGTTGCCTCTTTAATGTTACATATCTTAACCTGCCAGGCTGGCTGTTAAAACGTGAGCATTTCAAAAATCCAGTCTAAACTGTGTGCCCCTCTGAACAATACTTATCATTAATGAAGCTATTCAAAATCAATATTGCAGCATGAAAGAGGAGGCTAAAATGGTCATCAAACGACAGGAATG